AGCCTCTCAACAATATGCATTTTTGCTGCAGCCAGCAAAAACGCATAAAAATGAAGTATCGCACATAGGGATCTAAACATTTCAGCTTTCTAGCATTATCGGTTGCTGAGCTGGAAGTGGGTGACAGAAGTGCGAACACGCATACACATATCGACAACCACTCGTCAATATGCATTTACATAAATGTGCAGAAACTTATAACCTGATGAGCTATAGCAAGAAGAGCTCATCACCGAATAACTGATAAACAAAATAATGATGAGTGGAGCAGGAGCGCGGAACAAGGTACACGCTTAAGTACCTGCGGCACGTAAGACAGCAATCATCCAAAAATTATTTTACAATCACATACATTTGCTGCAGCATGACTGGGAACCCAATACTCGATTTGTAGATCTTGTGAATCAGCCAGTTTTGTATTATGAGGAGTTAAAGGCGGTGAGGACTGCTGCACTACCGAAGCGCCCTGAAAATAAAGGACGAGCTCATTCCGACCCAGAGACTTCTATACTTATGCATCAAAACAGATTTTACACACGGTAGGAATTAAAGCAAACGGAAAACTGAGTGGCTTCACCCTTGCCAACCAACCTTCGCAACAACAAGAAAAATCCTGGCAAAAATGGTTGAACGATTAGTTTTAGACATAAATTTCTGAAAAATAACATAAAATAGCAAAAGAGAAAAGAGAGCCTGTGTGTCTTCAGAACATCGAGGAGAAGTGATATTGCTGCTGCCTTCCAGGTCCTCCTCAAACTGACCTACTCGAACTTCGGAAAGAAACGGAACAAACTGCGAGCTGTCTTTTTCATCAGCAACACTGCAAATTATGTTCGATGAGGTTTGATATGAATAGAGTCGCTTCTTTTGCGCCAAGCCTATCACTCCCTCTCCCCTTACTCCAGCATTATTCTATTCGCATTTATCTAAATAAAATAAAAAAATAGCGGTGCACATCAGAGCAGCCGGTACGATCATGAATTTTGTGCAATTACATCCACCGAATGAATGCCTACCAATGATTTTCACTACCTTGCACTTCGGCTTGTGCAAAAATAGTTGAAATGTTGTCTGTTTCCTGAGCTGCAGAACTTCGTACCAAAAATTTCACGCACCGGTACGTGAAAGATGAAAATGAAACCTCGAAGGATGAATATTCTTTCATAAATTCAGCATCCTAATTTTCTGGTTTCGAGTAATTTTTGCGATAAAACTTTTATGTGTTCATACGTCAGAGCTAGGTATATTTAAGGGCTGAATTTGAGTTTTTGAAGCTCTTGCTTAGGCAGGAAGCATCATCTGATACTCTCAGCCTAGTAGCTCTTCTGACTCCAGAGATTTTCCGCAAAAACTTCAACGGGGACGTTGAAAACTTGCGGAATCGTATATGAGCAGGGGATGCCGTGTTAAAATTTCAGCTTTCCAGCTTTTACAGTTCACGAGATAATTTCCCTATCAAAATATTCCCCAAGGCCGTACGTGGCATTCAGGGGGGAATGAAGGCTGGGTTCAAATTTACGGGGTCATACATTGGTAGAGGACTTCAGCCTAAAATTTCAGACTCTCAACTTCCGTGGTACCCGAGATAATAATTTTCTCCGTCGAAACTTTCATGGGGCCGTAAGTGATACTCGGGCATGCGGAAATGCTGAATTTAAATTTGCTCGATTGAATGTGAGCGGGGAACATTACAGTAAAACTTCAGCTTCTTAGATTCGTAGTTCCCGAGATAGTAATTTACTCGTCAAAAGTTTCACGGGGCCGTGCGTGTTACCCGGCTGGCTTTAAATTTTCTGAGTCGTGTGTGGGCATCGGACATACCCAAAAAATTTTATCTTCCTAGTTTCCGTGGTTCCTAAGACAATAATTTTCCCCACCAAAACTTTTACAGGGCCGTGCATGCTACCCGTGGGAACGGGAAGGCTGAATTTAAATTTGCGGGGTCACACGCTGGCGGGAGATACTCTACAAAAATTTCAGCCGCCTAGCTTTTGTGGCCCCCGAGTTGGAAGTGCAGGACAAAACCTTGGACACAGACACAAACATACACACACAGACAACCCCGTGACAATATGCGTCTTGTATTGCTGTTACACAGCATCAAGCGCATAAAAATGACCAGAAGACTCACGCCTTACTGTGGAATTGTAACATAGCTTCTCCAATCGGCAATTTTCGAACAGCTCCATCCGCTACATTTTTTAGCTTCTCAGCAAATGTTTTCAATTCAGCAGGTGAAAATTCGTCAATATTCTTGGTGAACAGTTCTGACAGTGCACAAGCGCCACCGGCTGCTGTTTGAAGTGCCTTACCAAGCGCACAAAATGTCGGAGCAATCACGCAAAACCTAAAAAACTGACCATAGAAATGAAAAATATATAACAGTAGCACATAATGATTCTTTTTAAGTAATGATGCAACAACTGAACATTTCAGGTTTATCAGTAATCCGTCTGTTTAATGAGGTGACGAACTATTTATACTGTAAATAACACCATCATTCGAAGCATGCATGAGTGCCTTTCATTTTTGGGATTCTAGTAACATGGATCCTATGGTATATTCAGAAGGCTATACAGTAACGTAGTAAATGCCGAGATGAAACAGATTAAGCCTTTCCTTCTTCCAGAAAATCTGGCTTCCTCGATTAAGTAGGAGACAAAGTCCTCAAAAGTCAATCTTAACAGTGTCTGTAAAATCTGCAAAAACGTGGCATTTTTCTTTCTTACAAACAACCAAAACAAAGAGCTGGGTGATTTTCCAAAAGAAATAAAAGCGCTTGCTACGTAGCATGATCAGCTAAACAAAAAAAAGTTGTAATTACCTAGGAACAGGAAGCAACAGAATTCAAAAGCCGCAACGACGAGACAAATTCGAAATGCTACCTTTCACTGCCAAACAACTCCCACCTGGGGCTAACAACATGCAGCCACAAGCCAAACGTAATCAATGCAATCTTTTCCTATCAAGAAATAATTCTGGGCAAAAATTTTCTGGACCGTCACTCACCAGTAGAGAATTGCAGCACTAATTTCCAGAAAGGCAATACGTCGCCTCAAAGTCCTACTTGGAGCGGTCGCCACTTAGAAACACTGCGGTCCAATGTTGTTTGGGCCAATTAATTAGGTCGCGAGGCAAGCCCAGCTTTCATGCAGCTTATATGAAACAATAAAATAATTACCTGAGGAAGTTGATCCAATCAGCGGATTTGTTCTGCAATGACTCGACGTAGGCGCGAAGAACATGGCTAACTAGCTTTTCCGATCCTATAATGCCTAAAATTGTGCATGGCGGAGAAGCCGATGAGCTGTTGCAGCTGAAAAAAAAAAGATTTTCGATTGTTTTACAAGGCAGTCAAATCATCATGCATGCACTCGAACTTCTTTCAACAACTTAGTAACTTAAGCAAAAATTTAGTGAAACGACAAAAATCCTTACAATTTTTGTATTTTTGCAACAATCGATGAGATCAACAAGCGGCAGTCGTTAAATGATGAGCAATCGAGCACCCGCACAACAGAACAAAAAAATGCAGGGACCGGAAGTTCCGAACAATCGCATAACCATAAACGTTCGCTGGGATTCCAGGGCTCTTCATCGCGTAAAACAGCGGACAGCTGCAGAATGAAAAACTGTGGAATTCAAAAAGCAATTTAGTAGCCAATTGCCATATAACTTTCACAACTTCCGGCTTTTCTCATTAGCAAAGCCGCATGCGTAGTGTTGCTTTTTGTTTTTACATTTTCAATCAGTCAGAAATGCACACTGCGAATGGTTCTTACACTAAGCGCCTTTCAAAACAAACAAAAGGTAATTCACATCAATTTAGTTAAAGTTGGTCCCAAAAAACGAGTCTGAAGCCAGCAGTGGAATAACAGATCCTGTGTAAATGCAGTGCAACACTATTACCCAATCTGTGACAGACATTGTTCGAGTGTGAGCATGAAATTTCGAAAAAGCAGATGGATTTGAATCCGGCGAATACAGAGAAAACGATCCGATTGTAGCTGAATTTGGCACCGCAGAAACGCCGGCGACACTGTTCGGGCCTGATTCTCCCGTCTTCTGTTGAATTTTGTCACTTGAAATATACCTGAAATTCTGTTAGAATGATAAAGGAAAGCGGCATATTTAATGAGATTATTTTGCTCGCCAACGAAAATGAGTTACAAAGACTGTTTTACGCTCAATTACACTAACGATAAGGAAAGGCTCTTTCTTTTCATGCGTTATTCGGAACTCGTAGCAAGCTGGTGCAAGTCAGTCTGCGTCTGCTTCTGTGGACGCCAACCAGTAGCGCAAGAGCTCTGCTAAATCCTTCCCCAACTTAACAAAACGAACCGCAACACTTCTCAAAGTGAATATGATTGAACGCGGAGGACAGAGAATTTCCACTCAATTCACCGGATCGAATTCGAAGTTTGCCTCTCAAAAATGCATCCTATCTTATCCGCGGTTAAATAATCTAACTTCAACACAACGTAGCGAAGGTTACTGTCACATCCAGAGACACCAAATCAGCTAATTTATCGTTTGGCAACCCTATTTCAGAATGAAATTTTCGAAATTTATCGCACATGTTGTTTTGTTTTGGCCTTAACAGAATAAACAGCTAAACATTGGAAGTCGAATCTAACACGAAAAGAACTTAAAGTTGGGGCAATGCTCAAGCCTTACAGGAAATGAAGTTTCGACTTCCGTATTTTCGGATCCAAAAAGGCACACACATACACACGGAGTCGCCATGAAACAAGGCCACACCATGCCGTATACAAAAACGGCAGGAAACTTACAAGCCAGTAGAGGCTAGTGCAAGGTTATCGAAGTCGGTGCTGACTTCCTCGTCGCTTTCCGTTTCCTCCGTATTATCCTGCAATTACAGTATTCCAAGCATTTAAAAACACAGTAGTGCAAAAGAAACGCACAACTCGAACATACCAATACTTTGTCATCCGTAATTGATGGCAATACTTCTCGTGATGATGATGCGAAATACGGCCGAAGGCATGGCCGTGGATTGCTTACAATGCTCAAGTTGTCCATTACCATTTCAGGGCCAGAATCCGATAAATTATCCAGCTCTTGAAAAAGCTCTTCAAGCTCTTGCGCCGTCGGTGCTGTACTTCCGCGTCTCGATTCCAGATCTGAACAAGTCAAAATCAATTGGGCAGCACCAGCCAAACGTTTTAGCTGGTCTACAGAGCAACTATAAACTGATCGACGGTAACACAAATCCTTTAACAACATGCCGCTTGAAAGGATCCTGCGCTCTTTTTTGATAAATAAAGGAATGGACAAGAAAATTTGTAAACTCTTTAACCGGTAAAGAGTTTATTAATCGCACCTTTAATTTGGGCCCAGAGCTTCCTAGCTTTCATGGTTCCCAGGTAATTAGTTTTGAGGCCAAAAATTTCGTGCGTATGTGAAATCCAGGAACAGGGAGGGGAGGGGAGGGGAGGGGGGGGGGGGGGG